AGAGAGAGAGAGAGAGAGAGAGAGAGAGAGAGAGAGAGAGAGAGAGAGAGAGAGAAGGTGTGTGCTTTGTTTCTTATAATCAATACACGTGAGCATATATTTTTTTACATATTTATTGCAAATATTTTGGATGCAACGGAATGTGAGGTACAAAATAGAATCCTCGAAAAAAAACTCCGTTTATTAAGATAAGTTTCGACGAAACAGAGTTGCTTGATAATCATTTCTTTCATTGACACTTCTAAACTGTTACTGACAACGTGAAATTGATACTTATTATCGTTAAGTAATTTTTCAAAATTTTCTAAGACCACATCTTTAAAATTAAATTCCTTGGTAAAATCATGACTGTTTTTGTATTTTAATCATTAAATACTGTGAACAAAAAGTACACTGTCTTTGATAATTTTTAATATTTTATATAAGAAATTCGATGATTGCCCAATTAATGACTTTTATACATATGTTCTCCAATAAAATGCTTATTGTTCCAATAAATAGAGTTTTGTTATCAAACTCTAGAATATTAGGTCGCATAAAACTACCACTCAATGTAGTAGTTTATATCTCAATTTCAAGATGGATTTTTTGAACGAATTGTCCTATGTCCAATGTCCAAAAAATATCGAAGCAAAACCTGCTTAAAAAAAAATTGTTCTTAAGGTACCAAATCAATTCAAATTGTTCTCATCTCAATAAGATGATCTAAACGATATAAAAATAATCGATTATAACAATAAAGTTAAATGTTCCTCTCGATAAATCTGAAAAATTTTTAACTGTTTATATAAAATGATCTATTTTTTGAGTCTTATAGTTAACAAATTCAAGTTAGTAGGATCTATGAGGCCACATCGATTATATTTTAATTACTCTGAGACACTAGTGTGAAAGAAAATAAGCAACGATAATAACAAATGTTGCCGATTAAATAGCAGTCAGTTAATAAGAAATACTTACATTTGTTACACGATTTTATTAATCAAACACACATTTGGCACAACTTTAAAACGTTGATAATATTTATGTCTGAAAATCTCTTGATTAACGATGACGGGATACGATCGATGAGGATATTAGGTAATAAAATGTAATTCACACAACAAAATCCGTCTCTTTAGAAAACGAATTACACTCTATAATGTGTAACAAACTATATTGATTTACAATAAAAGTTTTCTTTAAGATACATGTATATCGCTGGTACACTATTTGTGTGTGTATTGTGTGTATGTATATGCGCATATATATATATATATATATATATATATATATATATATATATATATATATATATAT